CCCCAAAACCCCAAAACCCCAAAACCCCTAGATATTTGCCTCAGATTGGATTAACCAAAGAGCTTCTTACTCTTGAATTTCTTCCTTTGGTTAAAAACATGAGCAGCATCAATTTTCTTGAAGTAACCCTTGAGTTGCTCTTTGTCAAAGTTACCCTTCATACCTCGCCATACTCGTTTTTTCTTACTCAAGAGCTTCCGGTCTTGCTTGATGAGTCCTTTTAGCTGGGAATTGGTGAAATTTCTAAAGTATCAAGGAAATTTACTTTATTTTTGTATCAATTTTTGCTTCTTTATCGTTCTTTTTCTTCTTGATAATGATGAGTCTATTCTTTTCTAGAATTGCTCTTTCAATATCATCTAAAGCAAAAGTTAGTCTGAGTAATCAGCTTAGGAAGGAGCCATAATGAGGTCTGAGAGCATACCTAATTTGTCTTCTTCTCCAAAAATGCCTCTTATGCCCAACCTCTTGTACTCATCAGACTGAAATTTCTTGATATTCTTGATGTCTTTCTTGAATTCAACATTTCGAGTAGCCACAGGCTTGTAATTTGGATGCTTCTTGATGAAATTACTTTTGGCCTTTTCGTATTTAGTAACTGTCTTAGCCTTTGGAGCATAGTCGAGCCTGTTTTTACGAATAATTTCAGGCTTAGTATTCTCTTCATCAAATATAACAATTTTCTTCTTATCTTTAGAGTCTTTCTTTGGAAGTTCTACAGTACTCAGAATGAAAAATTACCCTTGTGATAGATATTTACTATCAGGCCTGATTTACTGTACAAAGCTGTGGGGTTTCGCTCAACTAAGACTCCCTAGAGCCTAAAAATTAAGACTATCGTACCGTTTGATAGACTTAAGAGTGACTCTGTGTGGTACAATTCAGGCCTAGACTTTATGAATTAGGGTACATTTGGTCGCAACTAACTCGTTCAGCGCTCCAGGTTAAGTTCGATTCTACCTCTTTTGACCTATTTCTGGTCGTTGGTCATGAATTCATATCCAGGATTGAGTGATTTCTCTATGAATTAAGAGCATTCTTTACTATATTCATGTAGAGCTTCAAGTGAGCTGATTCCTCTGTAATCAAGTCGAGTGAGAGACTTCATTTTGGCTCCTCAAGGAGAAGTTTCTACTGAATGGTTTTCTAAGAATTCTGGCTTGGCATAGCTAATTGAAGCGCATTTTGGGTGATCTAGAGGTCAGAAAAGCTACCTACATGACCTATTTCTGATATGATCTCTGTATGATCTGTTTGACTTGGTCATCAGATACTTGGTCCCTAATATTACACAAGTAGCCATACTCTTTGTTAATGAAGGGAGACTCAGTAGTGTCTTCATCAAGCATTGTATCTCTTTCTCGAATGCCAAGCTTATACTCAAGCTCAAGTCTAGAAGGATCAAGCTCTGCAGCTTCATCATTTTGAAGGAACATCTACAGGTTAAATTCTAGCCCACTCGTTTAGGCTTCTGGTCTTTGTTGATCTTTATTGGTGACAGATTCTGACGCTTTTTTAACTTCTTTTGATCCTCTTTTTCTCTATCAAGGCCATCTATTATGTTGATTGGGGTCAAACTAAATTTTTAAGATATTTTTAGATATTAAGATCAGAAGGATCTTCGTAAATCTGAATTCATGCTTATCGTTGTTAAAGATTTTTGACATAAATTTAGATTTTTGGAGGTTTCTTCAAATATGAGATAAAATTAGTTGAGGTTTATAAGTGATACTGTACTTAGGTTTCTTATAGATTTTCGAATCGAAGATTAGTAATGAGAATAAGTTGGAAAAACAAAATTTATTAAGTGTCAGATTGCCAAAGTTTCTATTAAGATTTCAAAAAATTGATATTTTTATACACAGAATAAACACTTCAAAGGATATATAGCAGTATTTTTAGCAAAGATGCTGTTGATAGTTTATACTAATTGACTAAAATTCTACTATAAACATTCCAGAAAAGTACTAAATATCCACTAATAGTTTTCCACTATGTGGCCTTCTCAACTGAATAATGCTCTTACGTTCTGAAGTGGCCTTTCTCAGGTGTGATGTATCGATGATTAATATTCTATGAGAGTTAACTTGCTGCTAATCTACCTCCTCTTCTTTTTGCACATTTTCCAAGTCAATTAAAGCTTTATTTTAGCTTGAGATCCTTAGTGATCACGTCTTGGATGTCTATATGATGGTGCTCTCGGATCTGATCACGAAACTTCATCAATTCTTTATGTCCAAGTGGCTTGTTGTAGTCCTTCCCACCGTATTTTACAGGTTTGATAGGCTTGCTTAGCTTACCACTCTTGTGCCTAAGCAACTGAATATTCTCTATAGATTAAGATTAGAGGTACCTTCAGTGATGAAATTATGATCAGTGTCATTTTGACTCCAAGCTTTCCTCTTAGCATCATTAAACCTTTGCTTGCTCATAATAGCTTCCTTCTCCGATGCAGCAATTTTGGGCTTGAGCAGTTGGACACCATTGAAGAAAATTCCGTGATTGACATGTGATTTCACCTTCCTTTTATTCTTCTCAGGGATTGGAGGAAGACCAGCTTGGTTCTTAATTCTTGTTCTTCTTGATCTCATTGATAGCCTTTGTATTCTTGACATCATCAATCCCGTAATTAGTCTTGAGCAAGTTGAGGATTTTATCCCTTCGGACCTCTCGAGGGAGAATCCCATTGTCTGTGCGTATATCATGTTGGTACCTGTTCTTCCACTCAATTTCTTTTTGCTTTTGAACTTCTTCCTCATCAACTTCTTCAATCTTGTACTTGTCTTGATCTTCTTCAAACATAACTCTTTTGTTCTGGGGGAAATTGATGTTGAAATCCATTTCTTTCCTTTCCTTCAGGTCTAGAGATAACGCAGTTAATTTACCCTTCATCATGAAGAATTTATTTATCCATGATGTAGTTTATGGTCTCTGTATTACGCTTGTGGTGCTATAATTGAGAATGATTGTGCTCGAGAAAGAAAATGCTGAAATACTTTATTTTTTATTCCCATCAGGCAGCCTTGATCTCTTGATTTCTCGGAATTTCTCATAATTTTGATCCAATTTTTCAATTTCATTGATAAACTCTTCTTTCTGAACCTTGGCGCTTCTTTTATAAGCTTCTTTAGTCAATTGGATTATCTTCTGCTCAGCAATTCTTTCGTATTCTGCAATCTTATGTATGTCCATCGAGGTGCCAAATTATACAAATTTTATAACTAAAACGGGGTTTTGGGGTTTTGGGGTTTTGGGGTTTTGGGG